TAACTATGAGCTTTTTCCATGTATGATACAACTACTGTTAATCATTCTTTGTAACATAAAAGTATCTTCTTAGAAAATAAACTTGTATGCTTATTTTATAATTTTGGGGTCAACTGACAGGTCTTAAATAGAGACCCCATCTTAACTAACTACATTTATTTACAACAAAAATACACACAGATAATTCTTACTAATTCTCTGCTACTATGAAGGTTCTTTATGCTCTAACGAACAAAATAGCAAATATGAAGCAAGAGAATTCTTGATGCAGATAACTTTCCAAGTATGGGGAAATAAAAGTGGTAATTTCAGTGCAGAACAAAGGCATATGTCTGGTGTGAAACTTTTAACAAAAATTTTCCTCTCATCAAATACTGTTTGCACTAAGAAGAGGGGTAGGCTCGATAATCTGTTATGCTATACTGCATTGATGAACTGCAATAAAAATCATTGCCTATTAGTTATGGCCATGAATCATTAGTTTTGGACCCCTCTATCATTTTTTCATTCATATAGGTAAGCTTTGTGTTCTCCTAACTGCTAGAAGATTCCCACTATAATATGAAGCCATACTGGTCAGAGATATCTGTTTTGTGTAAGCTACATGTAGGGAGTGTAGATACAAGAGTTGAGCAATGGTGCCTGGCAGAATTGAAGGCACAGAAAGCCTCTCTAGACAGTGTATACTCTGACCTACCTACTCTGTCATGTGGCTTCAATTAACTGTGGCTGTATTACCTGCTTATTTTCCATCCAGACTTACACAGGACCTCTTTTGTGCCCTGAAATTACATCCTCTAAAAGGGAGTGAAATCTTGATCTCCCTGCTGGGCCAAAAATCCCTGATTGTTGTTTTCCTGCTGAGAATACTGTATATATATAGCCAACCATTCTTCTGTAAAAATGACAGAAAAAGTTATGCTAGTTAAAATGATACCAGTTCCCTGGCTTATGAAATGATCTGTACCTGGTCTTAGTTCAGATTACCCATCCTGTCATTTTGGTGCTATATTTCCTTTTTATACTTGTTTAGCCCATGTAACACCATGACTAAAAATCTGTATTCTGAGGTTTCCCTGTTTCAGTTTGTTTTTATTATCTAGTTGTACCAGACAGGGCATTTATTGGTTACGTGCCCAACCAATATCTAAAGATGCTTGGCCATTTAGGTTAAAGAAGTTAGGGTCATTGTGGATTTCCTGTTATTGCATTAGGAAGAACATGTAGGAAGTAGTACTGTACCACCATATAATTAAGGTTTTATTTGCCTTGTAGTTATGGATGCAAGTAATTTATAAATGCACTTCAGGACATATAAACTTGGTGTTGTCAGTGCCAAGGAGCAAGACATACCTCTTTTGCCATGTGGGTGAGCTTTGGAAGACATCATACTGAGTTCTTTCATGGTTGATTAGTACCCCTGTAGAGCATAGAGACTATGGACAGGATTGAAGAATGGTCCTCTGTTATTGTTTTTGGGTCATCACTGGGACAGTGAAATCAATCATTTAGTACTTTAATTTCAACATAACAAGCAGCTCTCAGGGAGCCTATGCTTTAATTCGCTTGTAATAAGATCCTAACATAGCTACATTTTGGCATTGGAAATTCTCTGGACATTTATTGAAATCAAGAGGTAGTTCTTTAGTTATTTTACCAGGCACATCATAGGTAATATTTTGGTAGACAGCAACCACTCTGGAAGGTACTACCACCCTACCAGATTTACACTGGTAGGATTGCTGGTGTTCTTTGTCTTATAAACATGTAAGATGGTATGTACAGTTTGGGTTTCAGGCCTTCTTCTTGTCATTGATACTGAGGCTGGGAGACAACATTCTCTCATCTTTACATCAGACACACTCGTCTAACTCATGGGTATCTCGTGGAGAGGCACCCTGTTCCTTTTTGTCTAGTTCCTGTTTCAATTTCCCATATTCTATTGGACTGTCCTGTCTATCAACAAGCATGTAGAATTTTCCTCTGATGTTGTCACTGCTCTAACACTCTTACTTTATCTTCCTTCCTTGCTGATGGCCCCACCTTTGACACAGACTTCCTCTTTGCCCTTTTGACAGCAATTGATTTATTACACAAACTTTGATAATCCTTCCTTTAGCACTCCTAACAGCCCTTCTAACTTTATTTTTGTTGTCCTCTCCACCCTTGCTTATCCTTTAATCCTGCATCAATTCCTGCCCTGCAGTGCTGTATGACCCTAGTAGGTTTAGTGTTTCTTTATGATTATAATAATAATAATTCAACTGTTACACCTAGTTCATACTACATATGCAGTTATACATGTACTTGTATGTACTATATACACACCCATCTAAGTTTCCATCTAATTTTTTAATAGGTCTTGCAATTGTAGTGTTTCCTTTTGTCTTCATGAGGAAAAGGAGTAGAATGCTCCCTTTTTAAGCAATGCAAATCATAAAAGGTGGCAAAAATGCTGAGAACAAGGGGCTTGTAACCCCTTCTCCTGTATAAATTACTAAAATGAAAACTAAGGAAATTCTGAAGTTGGGTTGTTTAGGTATGCATTAGTTTATCAGGATTGTTTAAATGTGTGTGAATGTAATTGGGTTGTGCGTGGATGTAGTTGGATTGTTTAAATGTGTGTGGGTGCAGTGCAGATGAGAAGAAAGAATTGATTCTGAAAATAATGAATGAAAAGAAGGTAGATGTTAGCTTTCAGGAAAACAAAGATAAAAGGGAAAGGAGAATTTCAGTAGGAGAGAGTAAATGGGGTTAAATTGGGTGTAGCTGAGATAACTAATGCTAAAGAAGAGGTAGCAGTAATATTAAATGCCAACTATGACAGGAGAAGAGGGAGTACAGGTGTTTAAATTAAAGAATTACATGGTTGAGAATAAGGGTGGAGTATAAGAAGTGCTTTATAGTAAGTATTTTAGAACCTGAGGAAGAGAGTATGTAGAGGAGAGAGAGAGATTTTAGGTGTTAAGCAAATGTTAAGGAAGTTTTCAACCAAGAGAGAAAATATTTGTTGTGGGGGACCTAAATGCTCAAGTGGGGGAACTGCTTTAGAGGGCATAGTAGTTAAGTTTGGAGTGCTAGGAGTAAGTTATAAAGCAACTATAAATATGCTGAACATATTTATAGTTGGGGTTGTAGAAGAAGTGAATGCCAAGGTGTTGGGGTGAGGTGTGAGGTGTGAGATTAAAAGGTTGGTGGAAAAATTTGGGAAGGTATCTAAAATAAGTAAATTTAAGTTAAACATAGGAAAGAGCAAGGTGCTGAGAGTAACAGAAAATCTTGGCAATGAAAGAGTAGATAACAGATTGGAGGGAGAGTATAGAGGGAAGTAAATGTGTTTAAATATTTGGGAGGCAACTTATCTGCAGATGAGGTAAACCGTAGACTTGACTAGGATGAAAAAATGGCAGGTGCAGTGGGCCATCTGTAGAGACAAAGAAATTTATCCATGGAGGCAAAAAGCAGAGTGTACCAGAGTTTAGTGAGTTTAGTCTTAAGGTACTAACATTTGTGTGGGTGTGAAGCATAGGTTTTAAACATTGCAGCAAAAAAGAGACTGGAGGTAGTGGAGATGTCATGTTTGAGGGCAGTGTGTGGTGTGAATGCTATGCAGATTGGAGATTAAGAGGTGTGGGGGGTATCAAAAGTATTATTTAGAGGGCTGAGGAGGGGTTCAAGTGGTTTGGACATTGAGAGGATGGAGTAAATTATATTGACTATGAGGGTGTATAAATCTGAGGTAGTGGGGTCATACCAGGAATAATTGGAAGAAGGGTGGTAAAGGAAGTTTTGACCACTAGTGGCTTGGACATCTAACAGGCCTATGTAAGTCTGTTAGGAGTGAGTGAAACACCTGGTTTTTATGAAATGATGCGCAGGAGTGTAAGCAGGTTAACATTTATGAGGGGATTCAGGGAAACTGGTTAGCTGGATTCGAGTCCAAGAGGGGATGATGTTACAGGACAGAGAGCCATCTGAACTGTGATGTCAGCAAATTCTTGCAAGACAGTGACTGAATAAGTGAGGGTAAAAGTATTTTTTCTTTTTTTGGGTCACCCATCCTCTATGGGAGATAGATAGCATGTTAAAAAAAATGGACTCGTGGTAAACTTACTGCCTTGTCTATCTATAATAGATGACTATGCATCTGTCTATACTTGGTGACTGTGTGTCTGTCTATAAAAGATGACTATGGATCTGTCTATATTAGATGACTATGTATGTCTCTACTAGATGACTATATGTGTGTCTATACTAGATGACTATATGTGTGTGTATACTAGATGACTATGTCCTGTCTTTACTAGATGACTATGTGTCTGTCTATAATAGATGATTATGTAGTTTTATCCCTTATATTTTGAATAGGATTTCAAATTCATATTTGAGGCAATATTTAACTCTCCTCTTAGGAATTGAAAGTGTTGTGATTATCTCTGATAATACAAGGCAACTGCCTTTTTTTTTTTTCCTAGATAATGTTCTTGTGCTAAGCAAATGGAATCTCACATAGACTGTACCAGTGCAGTGTCAGGGAGAGATTTCTCTCAACTGGATAAGTGCAGAGCAGAAAAGGTTAACTATTTTGAATAGCTTATTACATGAGAATGTAGTTATATCCAGTTATTAGCCATTGATGACTTGGTACCAGGAAATTGTCAGAAGACACAGTGAAGTGAAAATATGTTAATCAGCAGCTTTAGACATTCTTTAGGGCTATAACTGAAAGGCTGAACATTCTTTAGTTCATCACAACCATTGTACAGAAAAAAAAATATATATATATATATATATACATATATACTTTTACATTCAAATCTACATAATGCTTATATACTGTATATGCATGTCAGTATATGCACAGTTTAATTATCTTGTATCATACAGTATTGCACCAGGTAAATTTTGATAAGACAGTACAGTATCCAAGCAGTGATGTTTTGCCTTTTGCATGTGACCCTCTGCTCATTTCCCCTCCTACTTGCCCTCTTCCTCTGTAGCTCTCAATCCCTGGGTGAGGACGATGAGGGGATCCCAATGCGTCCTCTTAGGATAATGAACGGTGATCCTGAAAGAAGATCAAATCTAGTAATAAAAGAGTAAGTATTATTTTCTTTGCAAGTTCTCCAGATGTATGTTAGTAGCTTTCATGGCACCATCGGTGTTGTAGTTGTTTACACTAAACTTGTCTCCTATACTTATAATGTTTATGTACAGTAATTGTAGCACAACAATAGTTTTGATATTACACAGCTTAAATATATAATACTTTGAAGTTTTGATAAAAATTAAGTTTAGAAGTGATGATTATCTTATTTAGTTTAATGTAGCTAGCATGAGACAGTAAGGATTAACACATTTATTTTTTGAATCCTCTGGATCAGATAAAATCGCATGTTCAGAAAATTCGTAGTTAAATTAGCAATGTAGCTTTTTCAATGAACGGGCGAGTCCTGAACCAGAGGTGCAGCAAATGCTAGTCTTAAGCTCTTATAACAAAGGTATTTACCCTAGAATATACATAAAGATTTGATTTTAGAGCCCAGTCAACACCCTGTAATTCCTGGCAATGAATTCAAATTTGACGTTGACCTCTGGACTATGAAAGCTACAGTAAGAGTCTCAACCTTTTTTCAATTACAATTAACAGCCATTCTAGACTGTTGGTGTGGCTGTAGCCTTATAAGCAGAAACTTATAACAGCAGTAGTCCTTTTGATCAGATATAACCCTTGGCTCTTTAACCAAAAGCTGTGTCTGTTGATATCTGTATACATACTTGCTGTAGATTCCAGGGATTATTGCCCCCACTGTCTAGTCCTAGACCTGACATCTTGGTTGATGGCCTGATCAGACAGGCTGTTGGTGCTAGCAGCATGTAGTCCAAAATAGGCATCGCAGCCTAGCTCATCAGGAACTTACTCAAGGAATTAATCAAGTTCATTCTTGCAGGTTGCTAGGAGTCTTTTGGTAATATAAAAGGGAGAGCATTGAAAAATCTTGGTTCTTTTACACTTATTGAGTCATCTCTTAGTGTGCTTGTTGCAACTCCTGTCTGCTGCAAATCTATGAAACATATCTTGCATCCATTTGAGTTGCTGGCGAGGCTGAGACTGCTAACCTTAGTAGGTTTTGCAGGTAATAAAAACAAAGTTGGTTGCACACCACAACAAGTATTTAAACCTTCAACTGTTTCGGTCGTATATATACGTCTTACTAGCCAGTGTTTTTGACGTATTAATACATATTAGCCATACCTATATGTCATAGTGTTCATTGAAACCAGTATCAGCATATACTGTATTGGTGGAGGGAGAGAGAGAGTTAGGTACAGGAATGGAAAAGTTGCATTGGAGAGGAAGAAAGGAATTTAGGTGAGAATTGTTTAAATGACTTAAGATACACAGAACTGAGAGAGAGAGAGAGAGAGAGAGAGAGTGAGTGAGTGGAGTGAATATGATTGGAAAAGAATAAATGAATAAATTAGTGGAAGAGAAAGAAATGGAAAAGGTCATCAGCTTCCTCATCTGAGTAATCTGATCAGGACACAATGCTGTTGGAGGATACAGGAGTGAAAGCTGAGTTCCTGTTGCATGATTCATTACTTTAGGAGGGCTGTCAGTACCAACTGGATGTGTCCTGAATGTAGACAGCTGTTCTCTGTCAACTAAATGTGTGCTGGATATAGAGGAACTAACACTCCTAAAAAAAAATTGACATTTAGGATTGGGCTCAAGACTGTTTTTTTCTACAGTAACAAAGGCAGTGCTTCATTCTTTCCTTGGGCCAATGCACTTAAAGTTATCTGTAGCTTCTTTGACACACTAAATCCTTTTTGAAATATTTGCCACATTGAACTGATTGTTTTGCTGAATACCTTACTGTTATCAGTGCAGTATTTTATAACAAGACAAAATATGCCATAAATCAGTTTTTAAAAACTGTGGTTACACATGCTTTTGTGTTGGCACACTAAATTAGAGAGAGATTATCACTGTTGAATGCTTTAAAAGCTCTGAGGCTTTTAAAGTTGTAGACTAGGAGAGGCTTTAGCTTGAAATCCCCAGCTGCATTGCCTCCTAGAAGAATAGTTACTTAGTTCTTTCTGGTTTGAATCCTGGAATCCACTTCTCATATCTTGATATAAAGGTTCTTGATAGCATATGCTTGCAGTACAGCACAGTTTCATCTGTGTTGAAAACATGCAGAGGTGTTTAGCCACCTTCCTCTATTATTTTCTTTAAGACATCAGTCTATAAGGAAGTAACTTCATCATCAGCACTAGAAGCTTCACCACTCATTACAATATCAGGTTGGGCAAGTTCCCACACTTCCTAAACCTGTCTAACCATCCTTTACTGGCCTTGGAAGTCATGTCCTATGTACCCTCAGTTTCAATTTGTGTTTAGATTCTCAAAAAACATTAACCCTAGTTGAAGAATCGTTGTGTTAAATGGCATGTTTTTCTGGATCTGATCTTCAATCCACACCCTATTTTCCAACAGTTTATTCTGTCTGTGAGTAACAAAACCAGCAGCAACAGGATTTGCACAGCTAGCAGTTTCTGCAGTTGGTTCATGTTTACCCAAAATGGCATAGGCCATTGATTTAACCAGGCCAAGATATTTTACAATATCACATCACATACCTTCTAACCAGCATCAGCTCACTGAAAAATGTCCAGTTTGGTACTTAGCGTAACACTCTTCCTCTTGATCTTTACATCACTGCCATCATTAAAACTTGATAGCCGTTTAGTGCTTGTGTTAGCTAAAGTAAAAGGTACCAAGTGCTTTAGACAAGCTTGAACAAACAGCAAAAAAAACAAACAAGTGGGCTGGCTCAATTCACTCATTATCCCATGAATTTTCACTAGTCATTCCTCTTCGAGGGGGGCTCCTTGGCGTGGTGAAGAGGCTCTTGGTCTGAGGAATTAGACCTGTCGGTCTCCTTCCTCAGACCGAGCCTAATTACCCCCCAATCCCCCCTTCCCTCTCCCATCCAGACTGCCCCATGTTTCTTATTCTCGTGTTTCAGAGCGTCCCCCCACTTCTGGGGTCACATCTTCTGCAGCCTCCTCTGCGGTTGCCAGTCCCATAGTCACTCCTGTATCTAATTCTTTTGCTGTCCTGGGCTCAGACGTCCCTACTTCAACTCCTCAGTCTGTCCTCACTTCTTCGTGTCCTCTCTCACAAACCCCGGTATCGACAAGACGTCATACGACACCTCCTCCCAATTGTCCCTTTACTTCTCAGAGGCCCAAAAAATCTCCTTTAACCCCTCCTTTCCTTCATCCACCTCCACATTTTACCTTCCCGGTCTCTGTACCTGAGTCTTCCCCTTTCACTGGCTCTGTTACAAGTGTGGAGGTTCATCCTCCTCGTCGTACTGTGCCTTCCTTCCCTGTCCCCTCCCAAGTTTCTTCCTCTTCTGCCACCTCCCAGGCTTCTGCCTCTTCTGTCCCCTCCCACACTTCTCCAGTTCCCTCCACCCTTTTGCCCCCCCCCCCTACCTTGGTACAGTCCATTACAGCTCCAATCTTTACTCAAACTCCTCCTCCTTCCATCTCCAATATTGTCTCCCATACGACATCTCTGAACTCCAAAACACTTGAAGCAATCTCTGAATATATTGCAGAGACCAAACCATCAATGGACACTGATCCACCCTCTGTTCCTTCTCTTTCCTCTTCTCCATCTGCGCAACTCCTTTCTTCACAACGCACCATTCCTTCACTACTTGAACGTTTTCCTTTGCCACCACATGTGGACTTTTCTAACCCCTCTAGTCCGTAGGTACCCTTACCTGCGGATTTCAGGTATCTTTATCGTTGCCAATCATGGCCTATTTACAGTCGAATATTCGCGGCCTCAGAGGTAATCGGGGTGAGCTTCAGATGTTGCTCTCACAGTTTTCCCCTGTTGGTGTTTGCTTACAGGAACCAAAATTACACAATGCTGTTATCTATCCTATCTCAGGCTATAATTTATTGTATTCTTCAGATCCTTTTCCTGATGGGACCTTTAATGAAAGTGCCCTTCTTCTATGCACTGATATTCCATACCATCAGCTATTTGTTTGTATTTCGCTGCATTACACAGCAGCCCGTATCCACTTGCATAGGTGGTATACACTCTGTTCTTTGTATCTCTCTCCTTCTTGGGCATTATCTACCCCAGATATTGCCTTTCTTGTTTCGTCATTACCGCCACCACTTCTGTTACTTGGTGATTTTAATGCCCATCATTTCCTCTGGGAGGGGTCTCACTGTGATTCCCGTGGCATTCAGTTAGAGGCTTTTCTTGCTACCCACCCCCTCCATGTTTTAAATACAGGTACTCACACCCATTTTGATCCTCGGACTCTTACTCTCTCTTGCATCGATCTCTCAGTCTGCTCTTCCTCCGCCGCATTAGACTTCACCTGGTCTGTTCTCCCGGATTTACATGACAGCAATCATTTCCCAATCATTCTTACTTCCTCTTCATATTCACCACCTCTTCGTAACCCAGGCTGGCAATTTGATCAGGCAAATTGGAACCTTTACTCACAACTAACTGTTTTTAGTGAGGTTCCTTCTTCGTCCTCCATTGATGAGCTTTTACACCTCTTCTCATCCTCCGTTTTAACCGCAGCTTCTAATTGTATACCCCAAACTTTGGGAAGGCATTCTCAGAAATGCATGCCTTGGTGGTCTCCTGCTTGTGCTTGTGCAGTACGTTTGAAACGCACTTCGTGGGGCAGGTACCGGTACAGTAGAACCATGGAGAGACTTCTTGATTTTAAGCAGAAGCGTGCGATTGCTTGCCGTGTCATCCGTGACGCTAAACACACTTGCTGGCGAGATTATGTCTCCAACATCACCTCTGCTTCCTCTATGGGTGCAGTCTGGAAAAAAGTACGAAAACTGAGTGGTAAATATTCTTCTGACCCGGCTCCTGTTCTGCGGGTTGCCGGTGTTGATATAGCAAACCCACTAGATGTTGCCAATGAAATTGGCAATCATCTGGTCTGTATTTCTCAGGGGCTCCATCTATGCCCCTCGTTTCTTTCCTCAAAGTCTGCCAGAGAGTTAGCACCCTTGGACTTTTCTTCTCTCA